TTATTATTATTATTATTAATATTATTATTATTATTATTATTATTATTATTATTATTATTATATTATTATTATTATTATTATTATTTTTATACAATATTATACAAATATATAGTTAATACATATATTTTTTTTTTTTAATTAAAAAAAATAATAGGGTTTGCTTTCCAGCCACTTAATCATCTCTTAACTAAATTGTAGTTACAAATTAAATTAGTTGAAGTTGATGAAAAGATATTCAAAACTTTGAAACAGAAGCAAGACAGATGAAAATGTGTTCGAGTTGACTTGAAATAAGCCGCTAGATGCTCATACCATTTTGATCTAAGGAAGTTAATGGTTACCATAAAAAAGGACCATCTTTGTATTATCCATAGCAGCTTTTTCTTAAAAACTATTAATAATAGAACATGTAGATATACAGCAGAAGTAAAATAGATGAGAAACAATATGCATGTTTATCAGCTTTGTATTGTGTGTCTGACTATTACATGTTTTAAAATTAATTCAGTTAAAACAACTGAATTAATTTTACAAAAAGATATTTATAAGCAAATCCTGTTCATAGAACAATGACCTAATAGTGGTCAATTGGTCAACATTCCTAGAAATTACTAATAGGAAGTATGTTCTGAGAAATGGACATTAATTTCAGGTATCTGCAAGACGTAATGTCACGTAACGTGTCCAAATATGGTTAAGGAATAAGATAAAGGGTAATGACCGTGATGCTGGTATACAGAAATTAATGTTGGGTTGGGTAATCAAATGGATACTAAACTGAAATACTCCATATATTTTCTGGCTATATTGATGATAAAGTAGGCTATGATGTTAAGAATGATGATAATAATAATAATAATAATAATAATAATAATAATACAAAAATGTTCTCATACTTCCTTAGGAGGGTTCGTTATCACATTAGCATTAAATTCTTGAAGGACTCTGTTCCAAAGATCCCACATGTGGAAAGTGTGGACCACTCGTTCAACCGGGGACCAGTACTCGCCCAGACCATCGTCAGATTTGCCCACGTGACTCAAGATCAAATCAATAACATTCATTGTTTTAGTAGAAAAATCGGATCCTGTGGTATAAAAAAAATGAATATTTTATAATTGGTTTTGAAAGAAATTTTGAAATGTTTAATATTAAGATAAAATGGAAATAATGGCATGGGCTTCTTTTTTGTGGCACACTTTATTAATCCTTCATTCAACAAAAGTATACAACACAGAGAAAACATAATTTGCTGGACACATATTTTACGACTGTGCCTCTGTTATAAAAAAAGAAACAATAAAGTAATTTTCAATTTATATAAGTATATATGAATATTGCATAATAAGTCTATAATATTAAGTGTTTATGAAGATTATATGCAAACATATATAAATATTATATAAATAGTATAGTATAATAATATATATATATATATATGTATATATATATACGGCTAGAATTAGATTTATTAGCTATATTAATAATAGGAATGATGATAAAGTAGGCTTCTTTTATGATGTTAAGAATGATGATGATAATAATAATAGGCCTACAGAAATGTTCTCATACTTCCTTAGGAGGGTTCATTATCACATTAGCATTAAATTCTTGAAGGACTCTGTTCCAAAGATCCCACATGTGTGATCCCACATATTATATATATATATATATATATATTATATATAAATTAAATCTGCATACAACGTTGTTTCGTCCTTTAAGGACTCATCAGTGCAGCTCAGATAAATTTGAGATTGAACCTTAGCTATAAAACAAGCAAGCTTGTAACAAGGCAGTTTAAAAGCGCTCGTAATACCATGCCAAGAGTGCTCAAACTACATGTAGTTGTGGGCCAGCCAAATGCAAAATAGCAATGGTACTATCTCAATAGAGTGCTCAACAAACAA